GGCCCCCGCGGGGGCCTCATCCCTGTCCCCAGAGGGCTCCTGCTTGACAATCGAGCCAGCCTGGCTCTTCTGGCCCTCCGGCTTCCCCTCGCATTCCCCGCCATAGCCGCTGTCCGTGTCGGTGTCGTTCTCCCCGGCCAGCTCCATGCCACTGGGGGGCAGGTGGGGGGCAGGGTGGCTGTTCCAGTTCCGCGTCCTCTGGATGACAGGCACACAGTTTGGCTGGATCTCCTGCTTCAGGCCCCCGCCGCCACCGGCGGGGTGCTGGTGCTGCCCCACAGGCGAAGCCGAGCGGGGAGGGCATGTTCCTTTGTTCCCGCAAAGGTTTGGGATCAAGAACGGAGAGCTGGGGAGGAATCGCGTGCAAACCGAGTGCAGGTGGCTGATGAGCTGGGCACACCGCTGCTCCCGCGCAGTCCAGCTCTCAAATCTGGAGAGGTAGTGCAAGACTTCTTTGGTGCAGGTTTGGAATCCCGAATGGAAAGCGTCCAGGTCTGACTGTGGAGGAGACCTCAGAGACCTTTCTCCTGCAAGAAGACCAAGCAGGAAAGATGAAAAATGCCATGAATAATCCCATAACCTAACTGGGTAATGAAATGTTTGCAAGAAAAGAACCAAGCTCAGAGAACCCCAAGGACTCCACAGTTCAACCCTGAGCTACACATATTTGCCTCTATTGGTAATCTTATAACACCATTCGGGTCCCTGCGTCTACTTCCACCAGACCAAGAACGACACAGAGTTTGGCAGCTGGGTTAATTAGATCTCTAGATTTTATACTGAAAAATAGGAAAAGGGCCAAGCTTCTGATTCAACATTCTCAGCAGCTAGTCTAGAACAGGTCCTTAGGGGGCAACAGGCATTCAAACAGGTAATTCAATAAAGCTCCAATCCTTAATTAATTTACTTGACAGCTAGTTTGGTATAGTGGTTAAGGCGTCAGGCTAGAAACTGGTAGGAGGCTGTGAGTTCTAGTCTTGCCTTGGGCACAAAGCCAGCTGGGTGACCTTGGGCCAGTCCTTCTCTCTCAGCCCTAGGAAGGACAATGGCAAACCATTTCTGAAAATGTTGCCAAGAAAACTGCAGGGACTCGTCCAGGCATTTGCCAGGAGTCAAGACTAACTTGAAGGCCAAAAAAAAAAAAAAACCCTTAATGAAATGGGATTTACTTTCAAGTAAACCTAGACAGGAGCAACTGCAGAGCAACATTTCTATCATTTCCTTTCTTTTTTGCCTTGGGGCTCTGTTTCATTTGGAACTACCACCTCTCTTATGTTCTTTCTGGACTTTGCTTTTTTTTCCTTACCGTTCTGTAGAGCAATTATTTTCTGATGCTGCTGTTCTGTTAAGGCCGTTAAAGTTTTTAGGTGTTTCAGAGTTAATTCCAGAACTACAGCTTTCTCCAGATGCCCTAATGTCTGGAAAGGAAAAGAGAGATCTATGGGATTATTCACACTCGCATGTAATCTTCTACCCTGTTTCCCAAACTTCATTTTGAAAGGAATCCTCTTCCACTCTGGCATGCTTGTGAAATTGCACCCAATTTTAAACTTCATGAATATGCAATGATGTGGAGTAGAGAGGGCTTCTCTTGCATGACTACAAAAGTACTTCAGAATAAAAAGCATCCACTATATTATTGGGAAAGCTTAAGGCTTGGGGAAAATGGACCAAAATATAGGGTGCCTTAGACTCTTAGGACATGAGGCCCTCTAGAAATGTCCAAGCCAATACAATGTTAAAAGGCTCCATTTTGTGCACATTTACTCAGAAGTAAGCCGCATGGGAGCCAGTTTAGTATAGCGGTCAAGGCACCAGGCTAGAAACCAGGAGACCGTGAGTTCTAGTCCCACCTTAGGCATGAAGCCATCTGGGTGACCTTGGGCCAGTCACTTCTCTCAGCCCTAGGAAGAAGGCAACGGCAAACCACTTCTGAAAATCCTACCAAGAAAACTGCAGGGGCTTGTCCAGAGAGTTGCCAGGCATCAACACTGACTCGAGAGCACCAAAAAAAAAAAAAAAGCCCCATGGGGCTCCAGGGAATTTGTTTCTCAACAATCAGAGATAGGCATGAAATGCCACTTCAATTAGAGACAGATATTTAAGCTTATTAAAAAGTCCCACAAGAGAGCGTACAGGACGGCTGTAGCAGCAGCCACGTCTGCTCCAAAGTAAGTTTCGTAATATTCAAAGAAACTTGCTCCCATGTAACTGTTTCAGGGTGCTTTGCTGGCTGTGAAAGATTCGCTAAGATCTGTCACCACCGGGTGGTGTTGCAAGTAACAAAACGCCAAGGCCAAGGTACCACTGGGATTTGGACACAGCTAGACGGGCAGAACTCACTGTCAATTTCAGGTGTTCCGGTAGTAAGTCCTTCAACTGGGCGATACACTCGTTAATCCGGTCTCGCCTCTTCTTCTCTATCAGTCGGTGGGGCAGTTTGTAGGTTTCCTAATTAGGAAAGCGTGGAAGGAAAAAGGAAAAAAATATAACTCTGACCACTCGGCTCTGTTACCAAATTTTGCACGTTCCAAAGCAGGGTTTTGCAAAGTTGTCAATTGGGGAAAATAATTAAAAACCCAGACCCAAACCGTTTTTATACCAGAAAGGAAGTCACTGGCGGGAAAGAGAAGGGCTGCTGTGCGCAGGTTGTGAAGCGCCTCAAAAACGTGGGTCTTACCTTGCTCTCGTCCCGCTTCATGCTTCTCCTGGACCTGCACATATGCAAGGAAGAATAATCCAGCCTGCAGAAGAAAGGAGAAAGCGAAGAGAGGGTTTCATCTCCAGCGAACGATACATCTCCCGTGTCTGCTTTGCATGAGCACAGCGTACAGGCGTTGTCAGGAGGAGCAGGGCACGTGCGCTTCCCGAGGACGCCCAGCCAAAGATGCGCAGATAAATCCCTCGCCGCGGAGCAGGCAAGCGCGTGCACACGCGCGCGCGCGCGCGCACAACACACACACCCAGAAACACTCACAGATCAGCTTTTTTTTCTTTTTTTAAAGCGGCCTGCCCTGGCTTTGCAAAGCCGGGGGTCACTCTAAAACATCATCATCATCATCACCGTTACCATCACCCTTGGCCAGCCAGTGGCCTTACCCTCTGATGCCCCGAAGCTGCTCCAAATACGGCCTTTCTTGCAGCTGCGGGATCTCTTCTCCCATGCTGGGCCAGAGCTGTCTTCTGTCCCTTGTCTGGCCGGCCGCGGGAGCTTGCGGGAGCCCTGGACGATGGCCGAGCGAGCCAGGGGCACAGGCAGCCAGGCGAGCGCGCAGGTCGCCTTTCTCTCCCCCGCCGCGGCTGCGACGCTCCCG